AGTTTTGTGTGAAGTTCTTCTTTACTGGTTGTGCACAAAATTTTTTTTCGTCATCTACTAGCTCTTAGCAAGAGACATCTGAACAGGGGAAGCATCAAGTGGAAGGTTGGCATTTTTTTATAATCTTGCTAACGAGTTGCAGTGTAAATCTGATCACAGAATATACCTGATACTTAACTGTTTGCTTTGCCGAAGTTACGCAGTATATCGTACTAACCAGACACACAGACGAAATTCCTCACTAATTGGTTTAGATTCAGCTTTGATCATGATCATGCTTGAAAAAACGACTGAACCTGCACAAATGACAATATGCAACATGCGGGCGTCGAAAACATTTTTGCACCTGTGTTTTTCGTACAAGAATATTCATGATCCGACGCCCTAACAGGACGCCTTCTTCATGAAAGCAACCTGTTTGTGAGATGATTGTGCCCAGTTTATGAACTAAAAAATTTTACGTTTCTGCTCGTGTTCTGAAACAAATAAGAAAGTCAGAGAAAAATCAAAAATGGCTCTGAAAACTAAATAATTGAATCCCTTCCGTCTTTCGAACTATTGAAATTGGAATTAATCCTGCTGAAGATGAAGAAGGCAGAACATATCAGAATGACGGCAACCTTTGCAATTTTTGTCATCAAGTACGAAACAATGTAGAAACATGGCAGATTTAAGAAATATTTATAGCCCTGTCTCTACTACAGCAAACAGCTTTCCCGTTCCGTATAGCGATCGGAAAGGGACATAAATGTATTTCAAATTTTTGATATGCCGTTTTCTGAAACTGCTGATAAAGAACAAGTCAATGGAGACTATACTTCTAATGAGGATTACGGTTTACTCATTGAATCAAAAATTTTCATGAATCAGTTTTTTTAAGCATGCATGATTATTACATGTTGGAGAATGTTGGGACCCTCTCTATTTCGGTTAAAATATCGGCAATCATGATTTTCGGTATCAGTAAAATCGTTTATTAATTCGTTAGAACCACAATTAAAGCAACAGAAATTATCGATCGACTGCAACCTTTCCTTACACTATGAACTCATGAAAACAACGTTCGAGCCTTCACGAATTCATGATTGATTTGGATTTATGCTATGGTGTGCAGGGTAATATAACCGCTTAATTTTGACATTTTTACCAGCAGTATGAATGAGGGAAAAGGAATGGAAACGCTATTGTATGTAGTTCCTGATGGATGTTTTTAGATGTTGCAGTGAAAGCTAAAAATTTATTTGCAGCATGAGTTAATTTTTGCGAGTGCTTTCTGCACGATATTCTAATTCAGTTTGGGAACTGTTTCAAAAAGCAGTCTGTGTTTATGGCAACTGCTGTTGCTCAAGCAAATAAAGTTGACGGATTATTATATTTAAAATGAAACGATTTCAATAATAAGTTATTCATAAATATTAATCGCTCATTAGAGTTGGGCAATTAATTACAGAACAGCTACAGCCGGAATATTTATTTCGCAATTTCTTAACATAGTGATTTTATGATTGAATTTTTAAAAGTTTTGGCTCTCGCGTGCATATTCATGTAGTAATGCAAGGGTGAACATAACTGACTGCTTTTCTAACTCTTATCGACTTCGAGTCCGTTTCATAATTCAACTTAATGATAATGCTGTGCATCATATTATGGATTGAAAAGAAGGAAAACAACTAAACGCTTCCGTGCATATGCGCTACGCTATATATTGCTTGTTAATCAGTACGTAATACGTAACAATATTATTTTCAAACGCTGAATATGCTAAAGCGATCTTGCAAATCATCAGCGTTTGAGCTTGTACGTTCTTCTTCAAATACAATAGACAGCTGGAAATGTGACCGTTTTCGTGGGACTAGAAAGTTAATGGCTTATGTGGGCTCTGTGTGCAATGTGATCATCGTGCTTTCCGGTATTAAATATTGAATCCTATCTGTGGTGTTTTAAACGTCGGTTTAAGGAGTACTTCTGAAGGCTGATGCCACAAAATGCAAGTACCACATTTCCCCCACGCTGCCCGCTCGGCTGGATGTTTCAGATGGCTTCCTAGATTCTGGCAACGTCAGCGAGACAAATCCGACGATACAACTGTGTGACCCCATGTTTCGGCAGTGCATGACCATCTGGCAGTATGATCCGATCACCAACGACACGTCCGTATTGTTACAAGGTACACTGAACGCCGTTTTGTTTCGACTTGTCACGACTTTTCAATCTCTCATGGTTGTTCTACGGTTTTACCTTGCATTTTTGGTAATGGATACGTTTTTCTGCGGTTTCTGATATTTGCTGAAATTCTGCCTGTGTAGGTAGTGAACTTTATTGTGTAAATCATGTGCCGTTTGTAAAAGCACTTCAATTTGAGTAAGATTACTGATTGAAAGAAATCAGCACCGACAAATTTCTTGAGGCCTCTCTGGTACTGGTTGAGAATATCGCTATGCCCTTTGGATGGGAGTTTTTTTTTCGATGCACTGTTCGACATTCTGCTGAGGTTCTGTCAGATTTAAAACGATCATCCGCGATATTTACGATTACTTTCACATGACTTCTTTTCCGTTTCAGATATGCACCAAAGCCGGAGTAATTGAATCTAGCGTTGTTGCATAAAGTTATGAAAGCCGACAGAAAACGATATATTTGTAGTTTCATCAGCATTTTTGATCCACTGCTGCATTTAAGTCTGCAAAATTTTTCAAGAGATTCTGTCTTCTGCTGTTTTCGTCTACCTCATTCCGGCAGGTTTCGTAAGTTCATCTTGCCATTGATCTGCCGTTTACTGGCGCTTGAGACCCATTGTAATATCTAATTGATCCAACGATCGTCAGTTCTTGTAATGGTATTACAGACTCGTTTCTGTTCTCTTATCCATCGTTCGTCATGTATTTTTCTTTTTATTCCCAGCACACACTTTTCAATGCTATTTTATGTGACGAGTAGTTCGTAAGCAACTGTCATGCTTAAGATCATGTTTTGCATTCGTACATTAACACTGAAAGCAGGAACTGATCGAAGAACTGATTCATTCACAATGGCAGTTTCCCGGGTATGAATGTTTTAACTTTTCAAAATTTTCTCCTTGCCCGTTTTGCTCTTCTATTGATTTCGAGAGATGGTTGTTGGTTGTCGACAGCGCAGCTATCCTTAATAGGCGTGGTCTTTCCACATTTTCAAGACTAAGTGTACCCGTGAACTTGAACAGATAGCGACGTCACCTCTTTGTTAATTATGACCTGAATCTTCTTCTACATCATTTTCAAATAGGCGTCGTTCAGATCGCCTGTTCTTCTTTGTAACTCTTCCGGAGACCTTGTGAAGATCGGAGAATCGTCCTCAAATTGCAAGTGGCTCAAATAGTGCCCATTTATATACAGCCCCTGGTTTTTCCAGTGCAGTGCTTCGAAAATCTCTTTTAGGCTTGCTGTGAAAATTTTCAGAGATATTGCATCTCCCTTCGGACTCATTTCAGTCTTGAACTTGTTTGTGCTTTTGTGAGGTTTCATACTAGCAGTTGCATTCTTGTAAATCATGGTAATAAAATTTATCTGTCTCTTCTCTGTACCCTTTTCCTCAAGGAATCCAGTACAAAACGGAAACAAGCTGAGTTTTAGGCCTTCTTAAAATCTGCAAACCACAAATAAGAGGTTCCTGAAATTCGTTGCTTGCCTGAATTATTGTAGTACCACCAGTAGATGATCCGTTTTACTAAATACGCTTCTGAAACTGTTAACTTCTGTGACTGTGCTGAGTCCGGTTTTTCTTGCGGTTTTCGTCGATACCTCCATTAAGGCAGTGTGCTCAGTCTGTATCTTTATCTCGTTTTTTGTATATATAGAATCACGGATGCGGTAGTGTGGTTGTCTGGAAATTTTCACATGTTTAGAAAGCATGAAGCAATCTCACTGATATCGTAATTACGTCATCTTCTGACCCTCGAGCTCTTCTGCAATGACGTCCTCGGCAAGAGACCTTCTTTTCTAACTCCAGTTTATTTAACGTTGCTCTTCTTCCGACATGATATCTAAAATTTCTTCACCTTTGTTTCCTCAGGCCCTTAGGGTGTTGATTTTTTTCATATTTGTACGGTTGCTTGCAGAAATTTTCAACTCTCTTCGGAATCTCATTCCTGTCCCTGCCTATCGCAAATATAATTCATATCCAGGATATCACTCGAAATTCGTCACGTGGCTCAGAAGCCTTGACATCTTGATCGAACATTACTAATCGCCTCAAGCCATATGAAGGAAAAAGATTTCGTGTAGGCAGCGAATTCCGCTGACTGAAACAGAGATCGTGGTGTTTGTTATTAACGTCATTCTGTTACATTTGTATGTTATTACCCTAATGTGGCATCTAAACGCGTCGATAAATAAAGAATTTTACGAACTGTTGCCTTGAACCATGGATCGTGATGCGAAGACCATTACCTCTAATTTTGGTAGGCGGCGAGTCGAAACCTAATTGTATATTTTTTGAAATAGATGTAAAATTTAAGGTCTCTCCGATTGTAATTGTTTGATACTTACGTTGAATCTGCAGAACATATGCACGGATGGGTGGCTCTTCTGAGAACAGACCAACAACCGTTAATTTTTACCTTTGTTTAACCGACAAACTGGCACTGTTTAGTCCATGCAGATTGAACTTCAGTCAGAATCAAGTTGCTTTTCAAATGTGACTTCAGTATCATGTCTTTTGGCGCATAATTAGGTGCGTAAGCTAGTTTCTGTGTCAAGTGCAAAATCATCATCGTTTGCTTATGGAGATTATAAGTATGTGTTGGCATATTTCCAGTAGGTCGGAGGCACTGATCGAAACGGTTAATACCTCTTGCTTATATCCTGACTGAATAAATGATGTAAAGACCGTTACTGCAGCCTAGAATCGTGACTGATTAAAAGCGATGTTTCATTTATGGATTGTTGCCAACATTCTGTTGTAGTTGTTTTCGTTTTTTTTCATTAGAGATAGTCGTGGAAATTGCTGCCTATTATGGTAAACAGTACGGACTGTTCTAATATGACGAGAAAATGAATGCAAATAAGCTTTTGCAATGAACAGTCAATTACAGATTTTTTTCTGGTAGCGAAATCAAAATTTCCTCAGATTGCGGGCTATCACCTAAAGAGGTACTTACTATTTAAGTAGAGCTATTTTTACAGATATCGCCAGGAATGGTTCTGAATATTCTTGAAATGTTCTGTTGTGTTCACCGGCGGAATTTTCCTTGGGCCGCTGCGGACACGTTTCTTCTGTCATCATTTCGAATAATATCAGTTTTCACAAATTCAAGCTGTCCCGTTGTTCGCTTTAAACGACGATGATAAAAAGCATCAACATGTTCGTTGTCCTTTCTTTCACGACTTTATATGATGTCCATGTTTTCATCATAAACCACCAGTTCATAACAGGGAGACCAAAGGGCGAGGTGTGGCACTCTACCATTATATGCTTGGATTCAATTCGATTATTAATAGTGAAAATACAGCAGCATCAGGTAAGAACTCTGTCTGATCTTGTTTATCTGGATCTCACATACCATTGCCAGATCAGGTTTGCCTTTCAAACCTTTAACTCTAGTTGGAAAGCGAACTACATCCGTAAGGAAATGGCATGTTAGATGATGACCGAATGGTTGTTAAGAGTTTATTTCCCCTGTGAAATTCTTATATTACGTTACGTTAAATAAACCGAAGCGCTTGGTGCTTACATTTGCATACCTGTGCGGATACTAGCAATATTCATTGTTCATCATCATCGCCTCCCATTGCCAGTTAGTCATAGGAAAGTCAGGCTAGATTCGGCGACGAAACGTTTTTCCATTTCTGGTTGGCTCTTGCTAAGCGGGTTAAGTAGCTTATGTTTTTTCAATCCTGTGGTAAGTTGTTATTCTAGCACTTTTGACATTTCTTTCTTCTTTCTGGTGTTTCTTACATGACTTTAGAATATTCATAAAAAATTGATCTTTCTGTTCGGTGTTGTTTTACATTTTTCGGAATATCTATGAATTCGTTTATTTCTTTAGCAGAACTGTCTGTCTTCAAATCCGATTGTTCTTAAAAAATTTTGCACAGAAAAGAACGTTTTTGTCAAGTTATTTTCGCATTATTATTTTTCGCATATGCAAAAAACATCGAGTTCCATTTTTTTATTAATGATTTTAGTCTATACTGTATGCTGTGATTTTTCAGATTGGAAGGCATGATTTAAATGTATCGCGTGCGTTTTGAGCAGTAAATATACACTGTGTTATATCTGTCTTTTCCATAATTTATGATCTATTTTAATTTACCCAAATTTGAAAGGTATTTAACTCTCCGCATTTTTTTCAAAAGTACCGTAGCATCATATCGTGATACTCGCAGTTGTTTTCGAACTCTGTTTGCTTTTGTGTTGGTTGAATCCTTTTTGTGTACAGGCTGCTGGAAAAGCAACGGCAACGATTGCGAGCCAGAGGAATGCGTCGCCCATAGCGACATCAAGAAGGAATTTTTCTTGCACAGCCGCTATTGTTGCTGTTCAAAGTTGCTGTGCAACGAAAACTTTTCCTACGTGTATTTGCCTGATAAGACGGACGATATCGAACTGCTGCTTGGTAATTAGTTATTCTTAATTGAAATTGAGCCAGTTTATTCCTAGTTTTTGCAATAAAAAGTCCCCTTATAGAGCGGTAACATTCTTATTGTGTTGCCGTTTGCTACCAGTACATCATGTAATACGAGACGTGATTATTTATTTGTGATTATTCTTTTAGAGTATCATGATCATCATGAATTGATGACTCTTCTTCAAGACTTTGCCATAAACTTCTGTTTAGTATGCATTTTTCTTCATGTTGATCAATCGAGAATCGAGCTTCTTCAGTTCGTCCTGCCATCGATCTGGAATTCCGTCTACCGGCCATTTCTTCTCTTGAAGCCTATATAATGATTCTGTGGTCTTTCAATGGTCGGTTCTTTTTCTGCAACGTTTCTTGCCCATTGCCACTTTAACTTCTTCACTCGTTTAATGACCGCAGATTCTTGTTTTCGTTCTTATCCATTCAGTTGTTTTCCTATTTTTTCCTATCTTTATATGCTGCTTTGTGTGGTTTACAATTTATGAACTGCTTTCAGGCCTGGAGTCCACAGTGATCGAATACTTCCCATTTCAAGCACAACGGCAGTTTGCCTGATAGGAATATTTTCAGTCTTCCATAAGTGATCCATAAGATGATGTTTTGTCTTAAATTCTCCTAGTGATAGTATTTTTCAGAAAGTGCAGTACCTGGCAATGAACTACCATAGACCTATTATTCCTTCGTATTTGTAACTTTTGTTGTTTTTAAGCTTCATTCTGAATTCTAATTACAGTAGATAAGACGAATGGCAGTGACGTCGTGGCATCAGTGGCCGTATGCTGTGTGCTGTTGCTGCTAGCATTCGTGGTCGCCTTCTACCTGGTGTACCGATTCGGCTTCAACGTGCATAAGCCGTTCTACAAGATCTTCGCTGATCCGGTATCAGCCATGGACTCGACCGATGCTGACTCGGTCATGGCACAGAAGCTGTTCTTCCATAAGCAGCTGTCGCAGAAAACGCAGTTCGACTCGAACGACATCGTTATTACGGACCTGATCGCTCGTGGAAGATACAGCACCGTTTGGCGGGCGATACACAAGTCGACCAATACCGAGTTGTCGATCAAGATCTACGAGCAGCCGTACGGCTACTACTACTACAACGAGAGCGTGATATTCACGCTACCGTTTATGAACCATGACAACATCGTGCCGTTCTTCGGTATCTCTGAGCAGATATCCAATCCGCTCAAGTACTGCCTGGCTACGTTGTATATGCCCGGAGGTTCTTTGCAAGACTTTCTGAAGGTGCGCACGTACGACTGGCCAGCTATGGTCAAA